ACTCTGTTTTACAGAAAAAAGTCAGAATGCCTTCTGTGCATTTATGTAATCATTAAAATAATTGTTTTCTTTCTCATAATTCAATCAGATTCTCACTCTTAATATTGCCTTAATTTTTATTAACAGATTTATATCCCACCAAATAAAAAACAGGGGACTTTAATTACATTCAAATTAAAACATTATCAAACAGATCTATAATGGGGGGAAATAAACTGAATTTAGCCAGATGCCACTGGACTGGTGGAAGTGCCCCTCCCTCCTCCCCAGAGTAGTTTCTCCACACTTAGAAAAATGCTAAACAGGGACAGGGGACTTGACTGAGCAAGTGGGGGCGGTCGATGGAGAACCGCTCTTGACTGCACCTGGGTTTGGTTCACAGTGGTTGCTTTTGAAGATAGCCGTGGGCAGGTTAGCACAGTCACGGAGGGAAAGGTCATCACTCTGGTCACTAGCCGCTGAGCTAGCCTAGTTACCTTCACTGGGCATGGACTGAGGTGGCTCCCAAACCCAGTAAGGGTGGGTGGCTGGGATGTTGAGGACACCACCCTGAAGCCCATGGCTTGCTCTCTTTGCCATGCTGCTGCTAACAGCCTTTAACTGGGTGACAGGAGATGTCACCCAGTCCACTTGGGAAAGACTTAGACTACCCAATTAGCCCGTGGTCTTGCATCCTAGGATGCAGTTACAGCACCTTTTCATCATACATGCAGCTGCTGAGCAAAACAACAGCCCTGCTTCTTTCCTCCCTGAACAACTAGTAAAAATGCACGGTTCCATCTAAGCAGGTTGGATCAGAGTGAACTTCTTACAAACAGAGGGGCCCCTTTCATTCAGAGAACAGACTGAAATCCAGTGGAGGCAGCGCGTGTTGACAAGGCACGTGAAAGATCTGGCGCACTAGTCAATAAGATATGCTACTTTATCTATATGGGCAGATGTCAATGGGACACACACGCTTCCTCTGATTCTCTTGCAGCATAAAGGAATCGGCAGAAGGGTAAGCGCTCCAAAACCCACCCTATATGTATCACTTCTAAAATATAATATTTATGGAAAGTTCACAGGAGGCAGAGGCAGGGTGGGGACTGTAGCATGGCTGGAGGAGAGTTAACAGTTTCTTCTCCACCTGCAATTCCCCTTAAAAATTCTTCACTGGATGGCAATAAAGCTGAGTGGGGGAAACTGCTTCTACTGGCACCAGTGGACACTCAGGTGTCTGCAAAATACATTTGGGCCCAAAGCTAGAAATACACCTCAAGGAAAAACTTTCTTCCATCAATTCCTCCTTCCCTGTGTCATACCCCGCATGGCCTATCATGCTGCCCTGCATGTCATTCAGTTTTCCAGAGCAGATTTTCAGGAAAGGTGAGATGAGGAAGGAATTAGCTAGAATTGCCTTCTCCCTCCATTCTGACAGTGGATTACTACACTACCCATCATAAGTCAGGATCCAGTCCATTCTGCTTTGAATTTCTCCTCCCCTGTGTACTGGGAAGAAGGGTAAGATGATTTGAATGCTTGGCCAAGCCTTTCCCAACCTGTTGTCCTCCGGATGTGCTGGATTCCTGCCATCCAACACATTTTGATGGTACCAAACTAGAGAAGTTTGTAGTTAGTCTTTAATCAGCACTCATCTTGCAATAGTTATTCAAAATCCTCTGATAAATTATTTCATTACCATATAGTGTCTCATCCTAACAGAGAGAAAAGCAGCTTTATGCTTACAACCATGGACTTATTTCAATAAGTGGTCAATTCCATAATGTTAAAAAATATTGATTTAAGAAAAGTGAAATCATCTCTCTTACTTGGAGGTCCTCAGACAGAGGCTGCACCACCATCCGTTAGGGATCCTCTAGCTCAGGATTTCCTTCATCAAGCTGGACCAGAAGGCCTGCAATCCAGTCCTGGGAGGCCATGAACATCCAACCACCCAGACCAATTGGCAAGTGTTTGCTGACCATATCTTGCTTATTCCTTGTACAAGGCAGACTAGACACAACAGCCTTCCAAGGGAGGGGTGTGCTTCATCCAACACAACCATTCAGAAAGATTGGACACTTTGAAACCTGTAATGAGCTGGATACAAACTGCACTCACATTCAATTTCTTCAAAACAGCAGGTTTGATTTTATTGCAGGTATTCTGGAGTAAGCCAATTGCGCATACTAATTCATCCATACTCTTCCAAAGAAAATTATTTAGATAGTGAAACCACTAAAATGCAACATGAGTACTGCTGCTAAAAAACTAGTGTTTTATTTTTCCAAAGGGGAAGATTTTCCAACTATCCAATGATGCCATGGAACACTTCCCCACATTTAAAAAAGTGTAAAGATATAAAATAAATAATCCACATCATGTATGGTAGGAAAGATGGGAATGGTGACACAACAGCACTTGAAACGAGTTTAAACACACTGCATGTTCCTGAGTAGATGGCACCCACATGACTGCCCAGGGAAAGGGGTTCATGTGGGCCTGCCCATCCCCCCTCCACATGTTGCACACTCACAGCACTGGTGCAAAAATGTCCTTCTGACTCATTTAAAAACCATGCTACGAATCTCCATACAGCTATGAAGTCTCCTGGGTTCCTTCTTTCCCAAGCAAGAGGGACTTTGCTGTCTCACATGGAGAGACGCTAGGGAAGCAAAAGAGATGCTCCCATCCCCGGTCAGCATCATCAGAGAAAGACTTCTGTTGTATGTTGTTACACTGTGATTAGCAGAAAACAGGACTGCAGCCCTCCTCATCAGTGGTCTGATGATGCGTTACTCGAACCCCTGTGCAGCTGCAATGGGTTGATCATATCCTGGCAAAGAACACTTTCTGGAAATGGCAATATAAACTGATGATTCTGCAGCAAGCGCGCAGCATGTGTGAACACAATTTTAAATAGCAGCTCTGCTGGCAGTGTCATGCCATGCAAACCCATGGAGTATTGCAGTGGGAGGATTACGCAACTCTTGTATAATAGAGGTTCACAGGTTCTCACAACACAACAATCTCCAGGCAAAATTGCATATGCAATGATGTGCCCATAACAGGTCACAGAGTTTTGTCTGAAAAAGTGTCAGCTTTTAAAGAGGATGATAGATCCACAGGCAGCTAAAACGCCACTTCTATATATATTTCTAGACCTTGTAATCAAGCAGCTCAAAAGGTATCATTATTCTTACATTGTCTTTCTAACCTGCCCTTTATCTGCTTGTGGGGAATTCAGAGCAGCTTACGTGGCTCCATTTTATCCTCATAGCAACAACCCTGTGAGGTAGGTTGGGCTGAGAGTGAGTGAGTGGCCTACATTCAGCCAGTGACCTTCATGGCCAGGTGGGGACTAGAACCCAGACCTGCCAAGTCCCCAAGTCAGTGCTTGAACCACCACACCATACTTGCTCTCGATTATTAATTATTTTTAGAGAAAGTAGCTGACTCTCTATTGTTTTCTAATAACCTCTGGTGCAAATAATACTTTTTGCTAGTTCTGAGAAGACCTTCCCATAATATTGAGCTTCAAAGCTACTGTGTTGTGTGTTATAACTACTATAGTAGGATCTTTAGCTTAAGGATCTTGAAGCACAAAACAGAAATGTCAATAGAAGCAATATATTTCTAAATATACAGTATAAAATAATCATTTGCACAAGAATGTAAATGAACCAGAATTCCTGTTTCTCCTAATGGTTTCTGCTGCCAAGCTCAATATTATATGATAAACAATGATTCTGCCATAGAAATCCTCCTCTTAATCTACAGCATTTCACTGATACAAGCTTTGGAGCAGAAAGTGGAGGGAGCCCTTTTATAATGCACACTTGAATTTAGCATTTAAGAAGATTATTGTGTTTATAAATAGCCTGGAAATCCAAAGTCATTGAATGTAGTGCACAGAATAGATCAATCATGTAGTTATCAAACCATCTGGCTGGTTTCTTCACCAAGAGCAATTTTCATAGAAATCTTTGTATTTACTAACATTTTTTGATTTGGGTGTATTTAACATACCACCCAAAACTGTTTGCTGCTGCTGCTCTTATAGCATTTTCCTTTGCATAGTAGAATCGAAAAAAGTCCATCCATCATTTTAAAAAGTGCCAGCAGCATGAAATCCTGTTTTGCAAAGTAGTTCAACAATGGACTAGAAAAAAGGGTTTAGTCCTTTCCTTTTGAAAACAAGTAGGCTTAGAAGAGCGAAGTAATACAAGTTCATCAAACCACGCACCTCCAAGTCCATCAATATAGTTGTCACTCTGAAAGACTAAGAAAAGACAGTCTATGTCTCTCTTTAAACCCTATAAAATTTGTTAGGAAAGGGCTCAGCATTAGTTGAATCCTCAGTCATTAACAACGCAGGTCATGTTACTAAAGACTGAGGATTGGCTTTTGTGACTGGAATGTATATCTGACATGCATAGTCAAAAATTTTTTTTAAAAATTGTATGTGAAACCATCTGTTTTAACATTTATTTCATGAATATATATGGGGGAGGGGGGAAGAGAATGGGAATGATAGTTAAAAACAGACTCTTTGTGTAGGGAAATTTCTTTTCTCTATTATATTTAAGCTGTTCTGAATTTTGAATAGCATTAAGTCATACAGTGCAAGTTCCAAGCACTTCTGAGTATATTTTTCATTAATATCAAATTGATTAAATCTAGGTGTCAAGTCAATATCTGACCTTTTAGGCTTCAAATGTGTATGTAGTTTGTTTAATTCCAAAAACTAAAGACAGGTTACACAATTGTCCAACCTGTAGACATCTCAAAGTGGATACCGTATATTGACTGTCGTTCCTACTAATGTTTCCCAAGGGAAGCAATGTATATTTGCCAATTTGGTTTCTTAACATGAATATCAACAACTATAAAAATGCGTGTATACAGAGATGTTATAAAGATTCAGAGTGTACAAAGAGGCAATCATAATTGCTGCATGTCTGTAACTATACAGATGTTTTTCCATGTACTCTACAGACTTACAGCTCTTTAATCAGGACCTACAACCTTGTCTGAGCCCATCTCCCATTTTGGTGGTGACGTAGACAGGATGGGGGCCTTACTGAGCAGCTCTGACAGCCATTTGGGTTTCCCACAGGTATGTGTTTAATTTGTGCCCCACCAAAAACGGCACCCAAGGTAGATATGGAGCCCTTCCTTCCAGCCCCATTGACTATATCCCTGTGAATGAATGTTAACGACTAAAGGACAGCTAAAATGACTCGGTGAGATAAAGCAAAAGAATGTGTTCACAATTTAACTGCCTTGGTAATCCCTTAGAAAATTTGCAATTGTATGAACTAGATCAGGGGTCCTCAAACCTTTTGACCAGGGGGCCGGTTGAAAGGTGCTGGTGCTGGGCGCATGCCGGAAAGGTGGTGTCGGAGGTGTGCCCGGGCCGGTGAGGGGGCAGGGGCAGCGCATGCGTGCTGAAGTGGGGGCTGGGCGCGCAGCAAGGCGCTGGCAGGCGCACGGGGTGCGGGGAGGGGAGGCAGGGGCGAGCACGCACCATGAGGCAGGTGCACGAGGCAGCAGTGTGCTCGGAGATCATTTTCTCCGTGTGAGCAAACTGCTGCCTCCTGCGTGCGGGGAAAGGTGGGAAGCAGCAGGCATGCACACGGATGCATGTGCAGCAGGTCAAAATGGGCATGGCAGGCCGGATCCGGCCCTCGGGCCGTAGTTTGAGGACCCATGAACTAGACTAATGAGTTTATTTTCTGAAATCTTCCTTATAGGCCGCCATCCTTCCTGCTTTCAATCTTCTCTAGTAGTTTGTATTACAAAACAAGAAGAGCTATAACAGCATTGTTAACCTTCTTTTCTCATGTCAGTATACATTTGGAGTAAATTCAGTACAGTCACTTGACTTTGGTGCCACACTTTTGGAAGACTTTTGGCAAGAATCAGGCAGAAATCACTGAGTGTGAAAAAAACTCTAAAGGAGGATGCCTCTATGAACCTGACCCTAATTTGAAAGATGCATCCAAACCAGATTTCTAGGTCTAAATATATACTAAGCCATAGTTCACCAACCATAGAGAAGATTGTGCCTCAGCTAAGGCAGAGTTCTATGGGTGGTAGCTTCTATCCTGTACAAATACCAAATCCTTAACTAACCTTAGAATTGTTTTGAGCTATTTATCCTCTATCGCTTGAGCTATAATGAATAGCCAAAGATTAACAGAACATATTAGTTTGATATTACATGTCCCCAGTCCTAAAGACGCCTCATTAGTTAATCCATCCAACAAGGTAGTATTGATAAAGCTTTCTGTGGTGTTTACCACCTCTTCTGAAAGGCCCTTCTGGAGTAGAAATTTGGAGATAAGGCTGTTAAACTTGTTCTCTGTGGTAGATTGCAGTTCTCCAGTTGGAAAAGGACTGTCAGAAGTGACATTTAATTCCTCTGGGTCAAGACAGAAACCTTCAGATGTTCTCTCAAAATAAACATCAGTCAAGTCAAGACCAGCTACAGAGGATGGGGAGGCACAAGGAATATCCCGAACGAGCCTGTAATTCTCCATCCACTCTTTGAGCCATTCAATCCTGCAGTCACACTCCCAGGGATTTCGGAAAAGATAAAGCCTTCCCAGGAAGTAGACTGGTTGGAAGACTGAGAAAGGCAAGGTGGTTAAGTTGTTGCTGTTCAAGTGTAAAGACACCAAACTTGTTAGGTTTTCAAAAGCGCCTTCTTGAATATTGATAATCTGGTTTCTGTCCAAATACAAAACTTCCAGTTCAAATTGGTCCCGGAACCAAGTATTAGAAACATTCCTGAGCAGGTTACCGCCAATATTAAGCATTTTGAGATGCCGGAGTCCATCAAAGGAATTGTCAGGAAGATCACTGATAAAATTGTCGTTTAAATACAGATACTCCAATTTTTGACAATCCTGAAAAGCTCTGTCATGAATTACATTTATCCTGTTGTCTTGCAGATTGAGATATTTCAGTCGGGTCAGACCCAGGAGCGAATTGTAAGCCACAGCTTCTATCCTGTTTTTCTCCAAATAGACATGGGTCAAATTCTCCATCCCTCGTATAGCTCCTGGAATCCTTCGGAAGTTGTTCTGAAAGCAAAAGAGTTCCTGAAGGGCCGGAAGCTCTATAAAAATCCTGTCTGGAATGTTGAAAAGGTTGCAGTCCGCCAAATCCAGTCTGACTAGTCTCTTGAGCGAAATGAAAGTCCTAGTGTGCAGGTACCGAATGTATTCATTATGGGCCATTTTAAGTTCCACCAAGCTAGCTAGCCCTTTGAAAGCCCCAGGAGTGATAAAGGATATGTTGTTGTGGCTCAATGAGAGAGATTTGAGTGATGGGAGGGTACCAAATGCCCTCTCAGCAAGGAATTTGATACTGTTTTTATCCAGGTTAATAGAGTAAGCTTCACAGGGAAACTCACTGGGGATCTGTGTGAGGCCTGCACGGTCGCAAAGGATGGAACAGCTCCTCTCTTGAGTGCACACACAGTTGGTGGGGCAGGAGCGAACACACGCCCACACAGAAAAGACAGGTGGGATGCAAAGTAAGACTGGCAAGCAAACGCACCAGCATGATCCCGAGGGAAAGTGAGGGGGGCAAGGAAAGAGAGAGAAAGAGAAAGAGAAAGCAAGAGATTAGTGAAAACTAGCAATATTGAAACACACAAGATGGAAATCTGAATTGGGTAAAGCTAGAAAATGCACGGAGAACCATTTTTCAAGTACACTGTAAGCAGTCGAGCCAACCTGCAATGTAGGTTAAAGGTGGCCATCTTGTTGTTTTGACCTACAACTCTGTGGTGACCTGGCCCTTGTGGGCACCCTGGTACAGGTACAAAGCAATAACACCTAGTGGAGCAGCACCCAAACTGGTACCAGCTCCTACCACTGGGAGTAAAACAAACCTAGTCTTCTGTGTACCCTGGTTCTTTCAGTCTCTTGGGAACAACTGACCAAGGATTCCACTGTGCTGGACTTTTCTGCAGCCCCTTAGTGTCCTTAGGGGAACAAAGCTAAGTTGCAGATTTTGTTCAGCATGTTACATACAATCTGGATGTTAAGAGTTAGTGTGACCAGTAATGCGCAATACCTCTTTGTGCATCTTTTCCCTTTCATCCTCAAAGCACACAGTCCAAGTTTTGGTGAAAATGGTAAAAGAGTTATTAGGGATTCAGGAAGAAGTACTGAATGGGGAATCAGTTTGTTTTGGGACACAAAGCAACAAACAGTTTAACATCATGATTCAGTGGCAAATAACAATTAAAATTAAAAAATACAGTCCAGCTAGCTAGGGTGAAGTTTTCCTAGTGCTTCTCACAGGTCTTCCTCTGAACGTTTTGGAGAAACCTACAACTGGGCACATGTTATGGAGCGAAATCTTGCTGCAAACTGCCCTGGTGCCTGCATGAAGCTCCCCGTTTCCTTGGGGAGATGCTCTTGAGCCCCATACAAAGTCCCTCGACTTCATTTAACAGTGGAGGACATCTCCTTTGCTCCCTCCCTCACTGCCTGTGTGAAGATTCCAGAAGAATCTTTGGCGTTTTTTTAATCTGCTGCATGTCCAGTAATGGCTCATCCTCAGCCCTAAGATGGATTCTAAAAGATTCTTCATTGTTTAGGTACCGGGGCAGTATACTCTTTGATAGGTTTGCTCAGTAGAGGTTCTTGACTTTGAAATCACCTCAGCCAGGGCAACTGCATTACAGTGCCAACATCCTGGTGAGCTGATCTTTAATTTTAGTGAAAAAGGGAGGCTTCCTTCCCTCGGACCTGGGTAAGTTGGAGAGCATACGGTCTGGCTGAGTGGGCCACTTCAACAAACTCCCATCAGCCCTTGGCAGCATAGCTGATGGTGAAGGATGACAGAGCTTGTAGGCCAAAATATCCAGAGGGCCACCAGTTGTCCTATCCTGCTAGAGGTGGTGAGCACGTGAAGTAGAAGGTAGCCATGTTGTTGCAATATTACAAAACAATACATCGCACCTTCTTGCTTTGTCACAGGCAATAGAGCTTTCTAGCTGAACAAACCTTTTGTTACCACAGGCTAATGTTGTATCAGCAGTAAAAAATGAAACAGTACATATTCAGTGACACTTCTGTGCTAAATCCCAGTCTGAGACAAAAATAATCCACCATGCCACAAGCATTAGAACTAAATGAAATGCATTCTCCTTTTTAAAATAATTTATGAAATTTAAAAGTCTGATTAAAAGCACCTCACAGTTTTGTTCTCTGCATTGAGCAAAAGCTGCACAGCTAGAAAAGTCCAGTTACTCTTACTTTCAAAACCTTCACTGTTAGTGTCAGTGCTTTCTTTACGCAGCAGGTATCTATTTTTATTGAAACCCATTCATCTTGTAAGTAATTTGCCTGCTACAGTAGGCAAAGTTACAGCTACTATCAAAATGCAATGGACAAAGATTTGTCTGAAAGGTTCTTTAACGTCTATGCATACATTTGGGGAAAGGTTTGTCTTCCTTAGCTCTAGAGAAGGAAAATGTAACTACTAAAAGCTAATGCTTTGTCTACTGCTTTTCATTTTGTCTGGGTCGGCAGTGGGAAGCTGGTTTTGGATGGGGGTGACAGATATTCCCCCACCCAGGGCAAGTGACATCAGGAGCAGGGCAGCTCCCCCAAATCTTATTCACTCCCCAGTGGATGCGGGAAGGCTGGGACCTGGCCTCGCTGCATGTGTGCTTCCCTGATCAGCTGGCTGCTCATTTGGGGCAGTTTTGCCCGCATCGCATCTCCTCCCACTGGGGAGGGCGCAGAGTAGCAGAGTAATGCTCACCAGAACCTCTGCTCACACTTCTGAGGTAGCAGTCAAGATTCTCTTCCCTGCTTCCATTCAGGGATGGGGCTTTGCAGAGGTACCTGATGCACCAGGCTGGCGGGACACATCATTCTGCAGGCCAGAGGTTCTCTATCTACTCCCAGTGTTGACAAACAGAACAGGCTTCCGAACTCAGATTTCTCTAGAGCCAGTACAGTCACCTTGGAGAGAGTAAGTCCCCTCTTGGGTAATGATAACATTTTAATTTAGGGCAAGGACCTATGCAAGTTTAGACAGAAAATATCCTAGAATTTCCAGCATTCCTCAGCCAACCTTGCTGGAATCCGTAGGATCTTTTCACCTTGGCTGTATTTAAAAATAAACGTTTTCCTGAAAATGTTACAATCCACACCTTTGTGTCTTTGGTTCAGCTCCAGAATAATAAAATATCCTAGACTGAAATAAGGGAGTAAGAAGCATTTGTTTAAACCTCTCTTTTTCTTATAGCATAACCAAGTGAGCATCATACTTCCAGAATCTCTCTTCCTCCTACACAAGCATCACTGTGTATTTGGAAATGCAAACTGTGAAGGCAACATGAATCTTTGCTGCAATTTTTGACACTTCCCGGGCTCAAACCAGATTTGCTCATTGTCAGTAGGCAGCTTGAGCTCATACTGTTTTTCTCACCGTGAAAGTCTACACTATTTCGCTAGAGCATAACTATGTTCGTCTATGCTCTGACCAGCCCAGGGATAATAAATTGTAATAAATCTGTCTAGACTAGGGACAGTAAGTTATACTGATGACTCAAGCTGTGCAGGAAGAAGGTAGAATGGTTGCAGAGGTCATTTTCTGTTGCTTTGGGCTGCTTCTCACAACAATGGCAGAAGACAGTTTTCTTGAACAACTCCAACAGTGGCTCTAGCACCATAGCGCAGGGGTGATGAACATACAGTCCATCAAATGTAACTACCTCTTTATGCAGACTGGGACTAACAGGAGTTGGAGTCCAGAAGCCTCTGATATGCTCCAACTCCCTGCCTACAGACCAAGATTTCACCAAGGAAATATAGAAAGCTGAGTCACAAAATTGCTCATCTAATGCAGCCTTGGCTGCATTGATTCCAGGTTTTCAGGTAGGAAACTTTCTTCCCAGCAGACGTGCCAGAGATTCAGGATGCAAAATTTTGCCTGTGCAAGAACACGCCCACTCTGTCCAGGCTGCACTGTGTGAGAGCAGAAAGCTCAACATCGCAGAGCCTCAACTTGTGATTCACCTCGTGCAACTTTGCCCATTCATTTTAGCAGGCCACTCCTCTCAGCCACTTCATTGCTCATTTGCCCAGGCATGGAAACAGGACATCGGCATCCAGAGGGTCACAACTATTTCAAGTGGATAAGGGCGCACACCACAACTGGTACAGGCCATATATTGAGTGCACTAACTGTTGTTTTCCAGTAACCCACATAGAAAATCATCTATCTGCAAAGCTAAAATATAATCTAATGTCAACTGAGGGCTCATTTACCTAAAACTGTATATGAATTATAAGCTACCAGGAAGGATGTGTGTAGCTTCCCTTCTTTTGCAGAAACTGTTCTAAGACACAGGACCATTACTTTTAGGTAAAGAATTTACCATTCTAAATTGGATTTTCTCCATAATTTGTATCAGGAAATAAGTAGTATTTTTCATCAATTTTTAATAAATTGTCCTTAACCAAAGAGTTAGTTTCAACATCACAACCTTGTTATAGTTCTTCAAATTCAGAATGCTAATTTTACATTTGCAGCAAGGATCCATTTTAAAAGGGAAAACACTATGCTTAAGCTAAAGCCTTCTTGGGCATTTTCCACGGAAAAGCAGAACAGATATATTTAAATCCTTTGAAGGGTATTAAACCAACAATGGATATATTTTTGCAGGAGAATGTGCCCCTCATTTAATTTGAAATAGTTCAAGAAGCTTTTATATTTGTCTAATCAATAAAATTGAGAAGACAAAAATGTGTTGATATCTGTACGTTACTGGAATTAGTGGTTGCAATGATTAAAAATGCAGATTTCACAGTTATATTTAACAAAAACAGTTCTGTGCTTTGAACTTGCAAAATCTGAATTCTAAAAAATTGAATCCTAAGACAGATGACATTCCTGCAATGAACTTTTAACATCAACATGGCCAACTCTTTCAAAATAAAAGAGCTATATACTGTTCATTTTTCAATTTGCCATGGAATCCGATGGAATTAAGAGTCTACATACCATTTAAAATGATGACAAACATTACCCTGATTATTCACTAGTGACATCTCAGGTCTGGCAAATGCTCTTCCAAAATCTAAAAACAAACAAAAGTAGGAAATATGCCATTCAAATGCATTTTCTAAATATCACTTGCCTTGTTAATATCTTTTTAAGAACTGCATAGTGATTTAAAACAAATTTTACCCTCCCAGATTGAAACACCTGAATTGTCCCCTTCCTTTAGTTTTTCACTGGACTGCAGTCTTACAATGGTTATTTCAGAAAAGACCTGCCCAAGCAGTCTTATGAGCAAATAATTAAAATTATTACAAGAACTTCCCATGCATGCAATTACAGCAATCCTTTCCTTCACAGGGTTCTAACGGGACTGCCGAAGAAGAGCAGAGTCAAGGTGCAGGAGAAAAAGACCTTCCTTACCTGTCAGGATGGTAGCTATGCTGCCTTTTGTTCCGCAAATGCTTACAGTTGGTTGTATTGCAGCCTCTCTGAAGGGCTGGCATGACTTCCTACTCTAAAAAGCTATCATGTAATGGTAGGGAAATCCTCTGTATTGGGGAGGATTAATAGAGATGGAAGAATTTGTCTGTTCTGTAAATCTCCTGGCTTGCTGACAAATCCATCTGCTTTTATTCCTGTTCTCTCCACCCCCAACCCCTGCAAGAAAAACACCAGCCTAGAACTGGCCCTCAGCCACCCCCAGCATTATTAGGAATAAAAAAAAAAAAAATCCTTCAGCCCCAGTTCCTCTTATACAATGAAATGAGGGAGAGTTGCATAGAAGTATGTCTGGAAGCAAAACCATAAGATGTTTGCAGATCTGACAATAGGAAACCAGCGCATTTGATTTCTTTCACCAAGCAAAGTTCACAAAATTGAGCTGTCTGCTATAGTTCGAATTGCAAAATACTGTATTTTTATCAAGAGGTTTTCAAAGTGAATCACTTAAATATCACCAGCACTGGCGGGTTGGGCGGAGTTCAGGGGGTGGGTTGCTGAGTGAGGTTTGGAGTACAGACAGGCCTGGCTGAGGAGTGAAAAGTAGTTCTTTTTGTTATTGTTTATAGTATTTGTATCCTGCTTTTGCATTTAAAGGGTAATGCTCAGAGAGAAATGGAGTAGAAGGTAGAAAGAAATCATGTGGCGGCATTATGGGAGGTCAGGAGTGGAACGACTCCAAGTCACAGAGAAAGAAGATGCCAACTCAGCACCTGTACCACTTAGAAATCCCAGCTCATGACATGCAATGCACAACCAGCTTACTGCCCCTTGCAGACTATATAGGCCAGCTAATACAAAACCATGTCTTTAGTTTTGTGCCTTATGGTGTATCTGCATCTACTGTCTTCCTCACTGGATGTACCAGTAACACCGGGAGAAATGTGTTCCTTGTCCCAGTAGGAATGACTGAGTAGGACTCCATTTCTGGATTTGACATTAGTATCAGAATTTAGACGTGCCTGTTGGGTTACTGGCCTTCTTTGCGATAAAGGACCCCAGTCCTAGTTCAATCTTCAAGGAGACACCTAGCGAGCTGAGGCAAAGAGCCTGAAAGCAGTTGTGCATTGTAAAGAAGAATGTAGGTTTACAGAATATTCCCATAGGGGATAAGAAATGTAAATACAATCACCTTGAAACTATGTAGTCAGGCCCTGCCCACCCTGGTGCCCTCTGGGTGTCTTGGACTGCCACTGCCATGCTTACTAGAGAGCATGAGCGATGCAGGTCTGACACATGTGCCCTTCATAGGCTGTCATTCAGAGCCACGATTTTTCTCTGTGCAGTGCATTGTAGCAAAAGAGCCTCACAGCTGTTTCTTTCAGCACAGGAAGCTTCTCCTAGAACAATGTTCAGTGCCGGGAACTGCCCATCCCAGAAACATTGTTTACAGAGATGAACCCAGAAAATGTAAACATTATGAAAAAATATTTTTCTGTCTCTGGCAAAAATCCCAAAGCTGTCTGTCTAAAAACAAGTTGCCTACTGGCAATCATGTTTCAAGTGGTCCCACAACAGTGATCAGGAGGAGTACCAGATCATGCCCCCCCCTCCCCACCTCCCAGAGAAATGGTCATCAGACCCACTGCTGCTGGGCTGATGCCTCCCTGAGTCACTGAGGTGTGCAGGCTTCAGAAGGCCTACTGTGCCCAAATGCCTCGCTTTGTCTGAGCGGGTGCTTAGTGCAGCGAGGCATCATGCTGTCTGAGCAGTACCACATATGGTTACAGTATGAAGCCTGCTTATGAAAAAGGAGCAGGTACTCAGATGATTGCTGAGCAGAAGCACTGGAAAAGAAGGGCTAGTTTGGCCCAGATGTCTATGTGGTAGTGATAGGTGAGCGTGGAGGGCTAGGCCATGCAGCTGCTCCACAGAGGTCTTCCTCCATCAGCGGCAGCTCCTGGGGCAGAGGGCAGGGTAGCTGACTAAGGCAGAACCATGTGTAGGCAGAGTCCACAACCAGTGGCGTTGACAATGGATGAAGCTGATGGTGGGTAGAACTGGGGCCACACCAGGCAGAGTAACTTCAAATTGGAGTAACTTCCTGATCATGAATACAGGAGGATCTGACCCAGAGAACACAAAACACTGCTTTGAACTCACATTTTTCTCCTCCAGCAGCAATCCAGTGCACAAAAAAGTAAACCGAGGCTAGGTTGAAATAGAAAAAATCCAGTGTGTGTGTGTGTAATTACTGAGTAGAAGGGAGTTCCCAGGACACAGCCCTACCCGCCCCCCACCCCAACTGCTCTCACATGCTAGGGCAGTATACTTTTAGGGGATAAAAATAGACAACTCTTAGTATAGGGTTGGGTGTTCTCAAGACCTGACAGATGCATATTCTGTAATTTCACTCATGCACGCACTCAGCCATCAATTTATAAGCAGCACTTCATAAACCTGCTGCTGCTTCCCCTCAGTCTGGAGCTTGGAGCCCGGGTGCGGCTCCTTACATGTTGACCAGCACAGAAGAGGCCTTGCAGCTGAAGGGTTTCCCTCATGACCTTGGGTTCTGTTCCAAACTAGGGATATTCAGAATTCCAACAGGTAAAGTGAAACAGAACATCCTGAAGAAACTTTCTTCTTCATTCTCTCAGTTTGATTCTGACTGCGGCCCTCCCGTCCCCAGTCAGTTGTCTCTAGCTACCATCACTTAAGAAAGGCAGGCTGCAGATGCTGAAACTGCTCTGCTAGCGTAAACTCAAAGCATCCTTAGGATGAGGAGCTTTGCTGTCTGGGAGAACATGTAGACGGGTCTGGAGACCCCACATGGGAAACACTGATGACTGCTCTTCCTGTCTTGGACCTCATGGCAGAGGACTAGACTTGTGTTCAGCCTGAAGTTCCTAGTTCCATATAGTTAAAAAACTAGTTTAAAAACTTTGTGGGTTATGAGTGTTATTAATATTATTATTTGGGCCAATAATAGGATATTTACATTGTTATATTTATTGTTGTGTTTATTGAACCACTGTTGTAAGCTGTCCAGAGACGTGTTGTAATTGGATGGGTTAGAAATGTCCCGAATAAATAAATAGTTACCAGTGTCAGTTATACTGGTAACTGGTTACACCACTAGGGACACACATGAAAGAAGAAAGAGCCTTCAGATCTGCCAAACCATTGCAGTCTCCTCTGAGTTGAATGGCAAGAAGTGATGCCCTTGGACATACCACTCCTAAAATTCCTGTGTTAGGTACAGGAGCATGTGGAACCTGCACAGGCTAAATATAAGTTGTCATGAAGTATCATTGATAGCTTGAGGTAATGGCAGGCATCCCCCAGGTAGGTGGTTATAATGACAGCTGCTGCAGCTGTATGGACTCGTATGCCTTGGCCAGATGGGGGGAACTCCATTGGCAGCAGGTTCCAGATGACAACTGCCCCCACCCTTGACCTCTGGCGCAATTAGCTCCTGGGTATGGCTGTCCCCAGCTTAGAAATAGCTGTACTAGCTACATTTGGGGAGTGCAACAGCCACTGCCATGTGGTGAGGATATCCAGAAGCTATTGCTGCTGTTCTAACCATAAGGCACACAGGGAAAAGCAGAGCTCGTAAGTACAGGTAGAATGAGGCACTGGGCAGTAGCTTCCTTAGGCTTGGTGCTTAACCCTGCCAAGAGCTGCTGCCTCTCCATCCAAAGTAATGCGTTTCTCCAACTATTCTAAATGTGGCTTTACCGGTGGATAGTAATCCTCTAATAGACATAGCAGAACTTGAAGAGTGAAACAGGAAAAGCGGACAAGCAAGCAGCTATGCTAGGGCTTTATGACAAGTGCATGTTTGCAATTACCCGAAGGGCTCTTTGCATGGGTTGGAGCTGGCTTTGAAAGCAAATTTAACTGCTTTATATAGCAAGCAAGATGTTGTGACAATAGCAGTTTTAGTAATCTATTAATGAAATAACTTTTGTAAATATTAGCAGAACAAACCTTGTTCTCCCTGACCTGTGTATGAAAAAAAGAGTGGTCCCTTACGTAAAGAAGTTGATGTTCACTGTTGTGTAATGAAACATGGGTAGATTTCCATTGTTAACCGAAATGAAAATAAATCCACACACTGACCAGATGCAAAGTACTTCCTTCCAAGCAGATAAGACACCTTAAAAACTTTATTCATACAGTTCTAGAAGCTTCTTTGTGCTGTTGCAGCCTTTACCTTTAGTGATTTAGACGACAAAGTATTTTAAGATGTAATTCATAAGACATTCATTATTGGGTAATTATATCTTTGTTGATTGACAAGTAGTGCTGTGTTCAATGAAACTCGTGTTTCACTGTAGTGATCCTAGTTTTTAGTCTTGAAGATTGACTGGTCAGATCTAAATTCTCATGGAAGAATAAATTAAAATATTTTACATAGTATGTTGTGGTAGGGAGAATCTTTTTATAGTATCAAACGCATTGTCTATCTCTAATTTTTTATTTTTTTTTATTTTCCATCTGTCAAATACGACGACAGATAAATCGTACAAAATAATTTTAATATTTTTTAAATTTTTATTTTTTAAAAAATTAAAAAATTAAAATTTTAAAAAATATTTTTTAAAATTTTTTAAATATTTTTAATCATAAAAATAATTATCAAATATACTTTCAAGTACTTCAGTTAAGAATACTATGTTAACAAGATAATATGATTAAGTAGTATTTATTAAAACATATTTCTTAACACAATAGTTATAACAAGAACCTGCAAAGGTTAATAAAAATAATTTTTATGTTCTGGTTAAAGTGTAGAAAAGAATGCTTAGCAAATCTCTCTAGATGGGGAATTCCAGAATGTGAGTGTTTCTGGTTCCTGTATTCAGTGTTTCGCTTTCTAAATATCTTTAACATGGCCTTTATTAAATCTAAATGAATTACAAACTGATTTGGTACATATCAAAGCAGTGTACTAAGTGCATTAAGTTCAGTGTCTAAAATTATCTAACCTCACCACAGTGTAATATTTTAATATATTAATATAAAATAAAGGATATATTTACTAGCAAGCATTGCAAACTATGGAAAATAGGCAGGATTTTATAAGACATGAGTTTAATTCAAAGTAATTCTGCCATACTGAAGAAAACTTATATGGAAGAATCATGGACACTGACAGAACTCCCCGACAAGATGAACAAGGACAGAGGAAAGTTTCCTTGCAATCAAGCAGGGGCAGAGGCAGAGGCAGGTTAGGGGGGTGAGAAAAGGGTTAATTTCATGCTACACATTTTCCTTAGCAGCATTTTTCTCTTCCATTTATTTGTATGCAGATGAAACAAAAGAGATAAAGGTTAACTGTTTTTACATTCAAACATAAAAGATTTCCTTTTAATTCTGTAGTTGGAAAGGAGGATGGCTGGGTACAAAAGATCTACCTAGGTCACCACTAGCAATCAATTAAGCACCATATAGATGCTGTATCACATCTATTCTGTCACACTCAGAATACCAGGTGCTGTCTGGGAAAGGCTGCTCCAGAGCTAGCAGCATTCAGCAAGGAGCTTGTTGATTGCATACAGATATCCAAAAAAGAAAGATATAGATAATGCAGGCAGGCAGAATAAAAAACCCTAATGATCAAATATTTAAGCAACTGTAATGAGTCTCTAGTGATTATTCCAAGTTTGCCAACTGGCGCTCTTCGAGAGGAACATCACACTTAAGGAATGTTACAGTGATGAGAAACGTTATCAGCAATGCTATTATTTGTCTAGTTTGAATGCAAGGCTTTGAATTAATTCACTTGTGAATCATGGCTGCACACAAGCTAAGATAGTATACTTTCATATTTCCCAATGATCCCAAGAGTGACTTAACTGTTACCATAGTGCTAAATGTCTAAGTGAAACGGAGTGTGCCAATCCAGCATTGTCATGACGAACAGGTGAATTGATTCAAAGGCTTCCATTAAGTATTTTAGATTGTATAGAATTATCTCACCTGAGATTTGGTAAATTTTCAGTATTATTTTGCTTCCATCAATGGAATATTAAGGTATTTGGAGGACAAGTTTCTTTGCTGCTGGAAGCAGGACTCAGAGGTTACTGTTCTTTTTGGCAAGGACTAAAGCTCCAAGTCCTGTGTTGCCATTCACATATCAAAACTTCCATTCATCTGTCCTTCTGTTCTACCATTCAATTTGCTATCATTTTAGTATCAAGGTAGAATTTATTCATTTTCCAATTGTTTCAGATGGCAATTTACACAGAATGGGCCTGAAACACCTTCTGCCTTTTTGGACTTGAGTCACTGTGACAATAGCACAGGACATCTCCAGGAAGTTATATTTAAGAAAGTTTCCTTTCACCAAAGATTTTAGAAAATTGAGTAGTATTCCCCAACCCCTCTACAAGTTCCCAAAGCATCTGGGTGCTTGTCAATTTGAACAGCAAGGGTTCCTGCTTCCTATGGTTACTTGAGCCCCCTTTTTTTTCCACTTCTTGAACTGCATTTTTAGCGAAAGCTCTCAAAGTGGCTAGTTTCAGCTGCACAGTAGCTTAGTCTGATACAGCAAAACATAGGAAGACTTGAACATGCCATAAACTCCATATCCCACTCTGCTGAGAAATGGCTACAATGATTCTACTGTATTTCTAGGAAAATATTAATTAAATCAATATGATCCAAGTCTTAAGCAAGCTGCTTGTGCTATCCAAAGGAACATAGTGTTGCTGACCATCCACTTGGCCATTTTTCTGTTTTTTTTTTTTTTTGTTTTAGTCATCATTGGACATAAAATATCTCCATTGCACCTTTGCTCACATAGGTAGGTTTGCAGAGGGGCCCTTAATTATCATGAAGAAGTTAAGTTTTGTCAACTTCATGTACAAGTGACTAGTTCAAATTCATGACAGAAAGCAAGTACATAAGGCTGAGTTATAACGGCAATTCTTACCCAGAACTAGTGTCATTACTAGAGACTGTGTCAGTATTTAGTGTTAGAGCTGAAGCATATGGTAGAAGTGGAAAACATGTGGAGTGTACTCCACAAACCATAGGTCAGTGAAAATCTCTTCATGCTCTGTTCAAGAGTTGTTAAAATGTAATATAATCAATGTTAAAGAGAGCATTTACAAAGATATATGTCATCCATATATTTGAACTTCCTAAAAGAAAGCCACTTGTGGTTAAAAAAAGGACTCTGTGTCATTGTTTAAAAGGAGAGACATATTAAACATAATCTGCATCTCCTGCTTCATTTGTAAACCCAAGCAGCACATATATAATACAATAAAGGAGTACAATTACCTGTAGTATGCAGTTAGGATACACAAATTTCATGAGACTTCTTTGAGGATGGTTTTTAACCATCTCAGAATTGTACTACTCATTTTAGAAATCACAGTGCTATCTACTTCACTGGAACAAAAACTACATCTGCCATTGAAAGTTTGACATTCTGAGATTAAAGAGAAATTGTTCTCCTTAGGCAAAACCATCACAGGGAGCCTATAGAAATGTCAAGGCAAGTTAAAAACAGTATTTTTATTTGCTAGGGTTCTGCCTGCATTGTCAAAATTGAAATAACTTGTCTCTAAATTAAAAAAAACCCTAAATACAACATGAAAAAACCCATACAAATTGGAAGGAGACTTTAAGTGCCATTAGTGCCAATAGCTTACAGGAATTCATCCTTTCAGGCATTCATTGCAGAGACATATACACAGAAAAAAGCAAGAAGTAACAAAAAAAATGCTGGATATCCCTTTTAAAATAAATTGGTTTTGGTGGCTACAGGCTGCTGCTTTTATTTGGATAGATTGTTACATAGCTATGAATTTGAATGTTCATTTTATTGAATATTCAGTAAAATAGAATTTGACATCTTTCATGTTAGGGTGATCGCTCCAAGAATGATAGTTATCATAACCTGTTGCATATCCTCAGACTTGGAATGAGACAGAAGAAAGAAGGAGCCATGCAGAAAAGCATTCGAGAGCTGGAATTTTGAAAATTTACTTGACACAATGCCAACTGTAACTCAAAATTAGGACTGAGCGAAAAGTACAGGTTAGGGTTACGGATTGAAAAAGTGCAGTCATCACTATGGTATGCATGGGTCAGAGGTATAAGGAGCGGGGAGAAAATGAGCTGGTAAAAGAATCCAGCTTTTCCGAAAAGCGGCATACAGACCTGGGCATTACAGTCACCATATGGAAAATGCACAATGTTAAGCTTCAGAAAAAGAAAATCCCAGTGTCCCCCGAGGTTTGGAAGGAGTCAAGAGTGCATTGAAAGCATGAGCTGTGGAGAAAAAACTCACAAAAACTAGAATTGGGAATATCTACCATAATGTATGTGCATTTTACCCTCAAATTAGGGTTCAGGTTAAGGTGGAGGTTAGTTTGAAAAATTGCACTCCCCAAGAACATCAATGGGCTCCAAAAGTGCTTAGGGTGGGCAAAGAGAGTTGGAAAGAGAAGTTTGGCTTATGCTGGTCTTTTTGAAAATCTGCATTGAGGACTTGGCAATTGAACCACAAAGTACCCTACAGGAATGCTTCAGAAAGGGATAATCAACCCATATTGTCCTGAAGCTTAGAGTTCAGAGGAGGTTAAAAAAAAACAAAACACAAGCTGTGGAGAAAAAGCTCACAAAAATTAGAATTGAGAAAAACCACCATAAGAAATGTGTGTTTTAGCCCTGAATTAGGAATAGAGTTAAGGTCTAAGTCAGGGTTTCAAAAACCTGGCTCCCCACAAATGTCTAGAGCAGTGACAGCAAACCTTTTAGAGACCCGAGTGCCCAAACTGCAACCCAAAACCCACATGCGTATCACAAAGGGCCAATACTGCAATAAAACCTGAAAACTGAAGTTTTAGTTTAGAAAAAACTCAGCCAGTCCAGGCAAATGTACATATATCCTTGGTAGCACACTGATCCGCTCAGAAAGCTTGGAGTCGCAGCTCATGATGGCATCACCTACTCCTTTCCAAGCATGTGTATGGCCCCTATGTGTGCTGTTATCCAATGCTTGGCTGCTGGGGGAACTTGGCTCTGCATGCCAACTGTGGCACACGTGCCATGGGTTCACCACCACTGGTCTAGAGGCTCCCAAAAGTGCCTAGAGCAGAATAAAAGAACTAGAAAAATCTGGCTTATCCCTGCCTTTTTCAAAATCTGCATTGAGGCCCAGCTATTTTGGCCTGCACGCATCCTTTGGGAATTTGTTAGGCTAGAAATCACTTTTTTCCCCGCTTTTTTCTGGATTGGTTCGTAAGGATTGCAACTCCTTTCCAAATTGCACTATTCCTAACTTTTGCTAATATATTTATCTTTTGGCTTTTCAATGTGAATTTTATCTTCCCATTTACAGCATCTCCAAGTTCCACATTCTTACTTTAAGCAAATGGCTCGTTTCCCTTCTCTACAGGATTGTGGCAAGTTGATTCGTATACTCAGGTCAATGTCTTCCTATGATCATGCAATCCAGTATTCCAGAGGGAAATTCATTTGATGTATTCATGTTTAGCAAGTATTTAGCTGCCAACAAAATCTCTATCGGGCTTATGAACATTAGACCAATACAAGCTCCTGACATATTCTAGGGAGTAAGTGATTAATGTAGTAGCCCTTTGAATCTTAATGACTCTTCCATCTGAACAAATCAACACCCGATATGGAAAGCTGTATTTGAAGCAGTGACTATGTCAAAGCCATTGACTAATAGTGCAGTCGGTGCTAAGTTAGCAAGGATAAACCACCTTTGTTTTGCCAAAAAAATAAAAAAACTACTATGTCTGCATTTCAACTTTTTATTTTATTAAAATTGAGTAATGCACAGCACATGCAGTGCTAGCATCTAAACTAATACAATAAGCAATTACTAAACCTACAGTGACCTGACGTTCAAATTTTTTTATTTTTTTTACACACTCAGCAAGTTTAAATCCATTCTTTGCATATGATTGAATCCTTATCTGAACTGATGAGTATTGCTGGCTGTAAAACTTGCTAAAATGCTACTGCTGAATGTACAAGTCACTGATTATGCCAATACAACAAAGAACCACATGTTTGAGGATTGCAATGTGCCAGACATTCACTGAAAAAAAAACACACAACTAAACAAAAACTCACGCAACAAACATCTGAGAATCTGGACACTTCACATCAGTGTTTTGAAGTGTTTCATTAATATCTTAAGACAAGTGTATCAAAACCTTGGCATGTTTAATTTTAAAGTTGCCAATTTTTGTTTTACTATCAGAAAGTTATGGCTACACTGCCAATGCCGGGTCTGCTTAATTTGACTTAAGAGTTTAATATGACTTAAACATTAAAAGCTCACACTACCCCGAAATATATAATTTCACGCATACGGTGACATTCAACATTCAAGTGCCAGTGTTTTTGTACTGTCTTTTGGTCAAGTTTCTTTAAACTTTCAAAGAATCACTTTTAGGCTTACAAAAATAAATATTTGTCAAAAATGTTTAATAAATATTACACAAAACTAGCAGCAAAAAGTATCTAGAAATCTGTCGTGTGCAAATAGTTTTCTTCCCAACCATTATTCCCATGGTCCCAGTTTTAGAATCTAGTTCCTTCTCCTTAGACAAGCTGCGTTCAGTCTCCCAAGAGACAAAATAAGATTGGAAGTTAAAGACACGCACACAAGACATATAAAATTCTCTGAATGTGCAATAAAAGAAGTATTTTGTAAAAAGTTATGGGCAAAATGTACAAGGGCCTAAATCTAGACTAATTGAAATAGCACCATAACAAATGACCTCAAATACTGTCAAGTGCACCTACTTAAAGTTTAGAACAAGGCACAATACACTTGAAAAGATCTATTGCACTTTAGGAGATTTTGCTGTTGTCCTATGTCACTTAGATTAAGAGTTGGTAACAACTCTGGCCACAGATGGTAGCTCAGAGAAACTAAGTGGCAGAGGCATTTTACTGTTGGAAATACTTATCTTTGGCCAGATTCAGCATAACAGACTAAATACAATGGAAACCTATGCAACTAAAACTGACTAAAACTGCACTTGATATAGCAGAATTGAAACCTTGTGCAGTTATGTACATTCCAACCTTTGTGATCTCAGAATTTGTTACTCTTCTGGAGCCATTTTACAAGTCTATAGTAAGCCAGTTAACACTTCAACGCAGCTTGAACAGAGTAATGTGAATCTGCATTAAAATAAAGCCTGCTGCATAATTCTTCCTGTTCATTCCCCCTTGACCAAAAAACATCAACACTAGCATGCGTTAAGACCAAAAAAATCAGTCAGGCCCTTAAAAAGTGGACCCGTCACTGTTGTGGTCAGCCATTCTACCATTTCAATTTTATATGGCAGGCAATTTTGAGAAGTCTAAGTAGATGAATTCTCCTAAAAACTATTTCAAGTTCAGACCTTTAAACATTCCCTGTAATGTTCCGCCTCCATTTGGCTAGCTCACATTAATTATCTGCCTAAACACTGGAGTTGCTGTGTTTACTTGCATTAACTTTTAACACAGTGCTTGTATGAATCCATACATCACCTCATCATGACTGGAATGGCTTATTAAAGACTATCAGGTTCTAAGTACCTATCCAGGATAGAGTGAGCAAATCAACTTTAACTTTGTACAGTTTTGCCACATTAGAAACTAATTCCATTGATATGCTTCAAGATGGTTTATTTTTCAAATCTGAGTATGAAAGCCCCTAATGCAGGCCACTGCACAAGTTTTTTTTCTTTTTTGTAGTATAAAGTGGATGAATCAATGATTCCTGTAAGTTGTATCACACCTGCGTGCCAAGGTTTGATTTTTTTAAAGCCCAAGTTGAGTAATTTTGTCAAGACAATTGATAATCTTGGGCATTACTGAGCCAACAGGACATCAAAATAAAAAGTTGTCTAAAGTTAAAGGCACAGTACATTAACAAATGATCCTCAGTCACAAAATTATAAATACAGTCTGGGAGTGGGGTGGGTGGGGGAGTTAATCCTGACTACAATGGAGTCTTTAAACCTTCGGAGTAGGGCTTCTGTTCCTTTCCTTCTTCTTGTGACCTTGAGCTCCCTTAAAAAAAATTCAGTGGAGAATCACAGCTGGTAATGTACTGCGAGTTCTTGAAGCTACACAAGGTATAGTCTGGCTAAGTTACATGTGGTTTCCATATTAGCTTGTTTGGTAAGAATCTGCAGCAAGCAGATCAGTTGCCCCACCAATCTACCCCCTGAGAGTTGTAGTTTCCTCCATATCCATCACTGTTATAGAAGCCGCCATAGCCACCTGTTAAGACAAAAAGCAGGGAAAAATTATGACCAAGTGAATTTTGCTTTACAGGGTCATTTTTCAAAAAAAAATCACTTAGAGTGGAGAGGAGATCAAAGAATACCAACAGCCAAAATACCATAAAAGACTTACCTCCAAATCCTCTGCTACCTCCGTGACCACCACCACCACCACCACCACCACTCCGTCCACTACTTGCGCGGCTACTGCCAAAGCTACTGCTGCCAGCACTGCTACTTGTTCGGTAATCCCTGGCACCAAATCCTCCACTGAAGCGCCTAAGGAAGGAAGCAACAATTAAGTGGTAAAGGTTATGCCTCTTCAAAGTAGATGACTTAAGTCACAATCCCATGCAGACAGAAGATCCCCCCAGCATAACTTTGAATGCTATAAATTCTGAGTTTCTTTCAAGACACACAGGGGTATGCACTTTTAGCTGATTGCTTAGAATTGCCTTCAAAAGTTGTTCAGTTTACATAAAGGTTCCCTGATGCAGCATCATTACATGAGGCACTATACAGACACTTCCTTTTAGAGACTGGGCACCTGGAAGCCTGTTAATCGTCTCAGTTGTGGTGACCAATCTGTGGAAAATTTTCTCCAAGAGGCTTGGTAAACAGTAGTTCACTGTTCAGTGCCATGTGAAGACCTTTTACAAAAGGCCTGGAAAAGAACTGCTAGGTGTGTTCTTTCCAGATATGTAAAAAATATTACTGAAATCAGCTATCAACACTTGAATTCAAATCCTGCTTGGGAGTCCTAAACCTGAAGGGAAGGCTGCAACAGATTTTTAACTTAACTATCCAGAATATCCTGGATATCACAGAAGTTCACAGAAGTTGCAACTCTACTGATAATGTCTAAAAGCTCAGCTGATGCCAGCTATTTTATGGTTGCACATGCTATTACATATAGCCCATACTTGAGCAGTACTTCAAGCTGAATCTTGCAGCACCAAATTTTAAAACTGAGTTACTATCTTCTCCCTAAGACTGTCAAGAACATAGCACCTTCTTGGCCAGTGACCTCTTCAAAAGCACCTCTTCCATTCTGTCTTTGCTCAAAACAAAAGTAATTTAGGCTAGCATATACCCTTCATCATTAGCAATGAAGGAAAGTATCTGTCACTAATTTGTCGGAAGCTAAGCAAAAATATTACACTGCTACATGTACACATGCTGTTCATGAAGCATGAACCTATCTCATCAGAGGATGTAGATAAATACAGGGATTAATTCAAGTTACCCTTTAGAGCGCCCTCGACTGCTGCCACCCTTGTGATGCTGCTCATATGCCATGTTTTCTAACCAAGATGGTACTTCCTGTTTAGCTTCAACAAGTAGGTCCAGCAAGTCCTTTGTGATATTTATGTTTCTCTCATTGAAGAAAGATGTAGCCAGACCTAAGGCAGAGAGAGCATGTTAGGTAAATACCAGTTTTCAGTGAAGTTTTCTGTCCTTATGTTCGAAATACCATAAAGAATGAATTCGGCAGGAATGGATTACAGACTAAAAGAACACTTTTAGACAGCTATAGTTGAGCCATTTCTGTTAAGACATTCAAATAGAAGCTTTCTGAGCAATGCCAGAGCCTGCTCAGTACTTTTGTTCATATTCTAGTATCATAGACTGATACACACTCCAGTTCTCAGCATAGACACGTCAGAGAGGTTTTGGACCAATGAAGATACCAAAACCAAGATTACACTGACTATTTAGATAGTCTTCCAAAATAAGCATCCAACTTTGCATATTTGTTTCCTTCTGCTCACCACCTTACAGGGAGCCAACAACCTTCTATTTGTCTTCGTTAATCACTGTGTAGAATGGTTCTCTCAGCCAGCGTTCCTTACCACTTGAGAAGGTTTCTCTACCACATTACCACTTTAATGGCATTTAAGATTACATGGCAGGCAGCACATGCTAGGGTGTGCATACTGTGAAAGTCTTGTTAAATCTGATTATAAATAGTATCTTACCAAGATTCCCTACACGGCCTGTACGGCCAATACGATGTACATATTCTTCTATGTCACTTGGCAAATCAAAGTTTATGACATGCTTTACATTTGAGATATCCAGTCCTCTTGCTGCTACCTAGATAAGATAAGTTCAATAATCAGTTCCTGAAGTTCAGAATATAGTAACATAAAAAGCCAAATACATGCTTTAAAAAAAAAAAAACAATAAATCTTTACTCACTGCAGTGGCAACCAAGATGGGACTTCTGCCTGAACGAAACTGGTGAAGTGCTTCTTCTCTGTCTCGCTGAGAGCGATCACCATGGATACTTGTGCAAGCATATCCTTCATGGTACAGGAAATCCTCTAAGGAATCAGCTCCTTTTTTAGTCTCCACAAACACAAGAGTCAAGGAATCCTTACCTACATAAGCAAAAAAAAAAATCATTAGAAGAGTGCCACAGTTGCCAATATAGCACCACCATGTGGTACAAAGTAGTATTTATGGTTGCAATAACGAAAAACGACTTCGGTAGTCAAGCTAACTGCATGCAGATTTAATTAAAAAGAAGGAGAAAATAGGGAGGAAAAGTCTGAGGCTTTTCCTCCACCTAACATTGATTCTCATTACCTGAGCCATGAGAGTTGTGTTGGAATTCTCCCAAACAGTCTTTACCTGTGGCATTTAGGAGGTCAAGCAGAAATGACCGTTTGTCTAATTCTTCCACCCAAACTACTTTCTGTGTGATGTTCTCAGATGTAGAGCCAACTCTGCCAACAGCCAGAAAGATATATTCCTCCAAGAAGTCACGAGCAAGCATCTAAAAAACAATCAGCACTTCAGTCAGTGACCTGGTTTGTGCAATCAGTTCAAAGTTCTTTCAGACATAGTGTCATGAATGCTGGCCATCTGCATATTCAACACCTGGCTTGTTGTGCAAACTGAAGGAGTTCAGGTTATGTAAGGGTTAAACAGAGCCTCACACAGTTGCTTAACCTGTGGTCCCCCAGGTTCATACAACACAACAATCCATGGTTGGGCACTGAATGTTCAGAACCCTACCTATACCATGAGCTGTCCAATTGTACAAACCAGCCCAATATGAGACAACCAAATAATCTGCCTGTTGAGTTTACATATTGATACAAATTTCCATGAGTATATTAGAGAAGACCACATTTTGAGCTAGAATTCTTCAGACCCTGCCCCCCACCCCAAACAAGCAGAAGTCTGCTTATTCTTTCTGTTCTGGAAGTTTGGTAAGCTAGGCACAACTTCTTGACCACGTGAGATTACCTTGTCTTTGACCATAACCACCTCTAGTGTTAGATCTCACTGGCAGCTGGACAAAAGAAGTTTAAGACAAAATACCTGGATTTCCTTTGGAAAAGTAGCACTGAACATCATAGTCTGACGGACACCCTTGGGTGGCATGGTGTCTTGCTCAACAATACGGCGAATCTGAGGCTCAAAACCCATGTCAAGCATGCGATCAGCTTCATCCAGTACTAAGTATCTGGAAGTAAGAGAACACATCATGAGTTCCAAGGATCATGTTAACAAGCTGCGATCAAGATCAAAGTTTATTAGCATTGCAAATTGATCATATATGTGGAGCTCTCTCACTTACTTGCAAAAGTCCAGTCCGATCTTTCCTCTCTCCATCATATCTACAAGACGACCTGGAGTTGCTACAAGCAGGTGACAGCCACGTTCCAAGTCTCGTATCTGCTGACCAATGTCAGCACCACCATATACAACACAGGGACGAACTTTGGAACGGTATGCAAACTATGGGGGCAAAATTAAGAATTTTAGAATCTCAAGTATTTTGAATATTCCCACTAGCAAGTTTCCAGAAGCATTTAATACTTACTTTTCTGGCTTCTTCATATATTTGTACTGCCAATTCTCTTGTGGGAGCCAAAACTAGAGAGATTGGATATTGCTTACGGCGCCCATACCTTCCATTTTCCTGCAACATTAAATATCTATTACAAACTGTAAGTTAGTAATGGAGATACTTACCATAGACCTTCTACACAAATGATTTTCCTACCCTACTTTTCCTCAAAACAGCTGAGATATATAGATAGTTTTGGGTGCCTTCCAATCCTGTACTGTTCAGGACCAACCCTCTTCCCTTTAGTAGAACCACATGTTATACCATTCTCTACAGCCATTAATATTTTGGCCACACTAGCAAAATGGCTCTATCAAGATCTTTGTTAGCCAGGACTAGTTCAAAGATACTGATCCTGTAAATCCTGTCTTGTCCTAGGAAACAGGGGGGGGGGGGTAATAACACAAATCAAAGTGGCTACCTACTTCCTCATACCAAACAAGGAAGCTGTCTACTACTGAAACTACACTCAGGATACTCTGTATTTTTGTTTCGCACTCAGTGTTGATATGGAAGCCTCTCTGATGGCAGTGTTAAACTAATGTGGTTTCTCAAAGTACAGCTACAAGTGTCTTATTCATACAAACCTGTGTCTTATTTATACAATTAAGTTCACTTTTGTACTATACATGCTACTAACACAGTTAGAAATGGCAATACAAAGTGTAATGAAGTATTTAATAGGGTAAAGCACAGAACAGGTCCATGTATTTTAAACTTGCCTTCATAGCTCTCAGGGCATCTCCAGGGCCATCTGTATATATCTGACTCAATATGGGCAAAAGAAAGGCTGCAGTTTTCCCAGACCCTAAAAATAAAGACATTTTACTCTGGACCACAGTACAAAAAAAGAACTTTGTATTTTCATAAAATTAACCAAATCTTTCACAATGGAATGTGATAGTTGTCTCTATTCCAAGTTATTATGGGACAGGCGTAAGGTATTGCCTGGTTCTGCTAATCACTAACAAGGGGAAAAAAACAGAGGCTCTTTCATGATTGAAAAGAACATTGATCTAAATCTAGAACTGGCAAAGAAAACTGAAAGTGACAAAGACTACATTTTAAAAGCAGTATAACGATCACACCAACACACATCAGAATATACTTACCTGTCTGGGCACAAGCCATCAAGTCTCTCTTGTCTTTGATGATAGGAATAGCATATTTTTGCACTGGTGTAGGCCGAGTATAGCGGGTGAGCTCAATGTTCCCCATGATGATTTCACCCATGTCAACATCAC